TCCCATCTCACCCCCCGGGCCGCCCCCAATGGCCGCAGGGAGCGGCCGCCTTACCACCTCCTGTGCAAGTTCAAGTAAACACATACAACCCGCATCATCCAGAGAAAAATTGCAACTCATCCATGTACCAGATTTCGGTGTCTCTTGCAAAAGTTTTCTGGTCCGTTTCCGTTTTTCGGTTTTTTGTTTTTTGTTTTTTTATTTTTCTTTTTAAAATCATTATTATTATTTTTTAATTTTTTTAATGGTTTGCTTTTTAATGGTTACTATCGGTTTGTATTTTTTTTTTTTTTAAAGCGCTGCTTTGTTGGTTGTGTCGTCGGATCTCTCTTTCTATTTATTTATTTGTATTCAGTATTATTATTATTATTGTTTTTAGACAATCGAAGTCCGCAGAGCTTTCGGGTTTTGTTTTATTATTATCCTTATTGTCACCATTATTTTGCTTTTGTTTGTTTGTCTGTGCTGTTTCTTTCCCTCTCTCGCTTGCTCGGGTTTTGCTTTTACACATCATCGGGTTTCTACATACACACACACACACATATATATATTCATTTCCGTTAAACGTCGCTTTGTTTCTGCTTTATTTTTTACTTTTTTTTTCTTAGTAATTTTTCCTTTGTCGGCGGTGTTTGTCGGAGGCGGTTCGTGTCAAGTCCGTCAACTGTTGTACTGACAGGCGTTTAGGCTGGAGCCGGGGCTCTGCAAACTGCTGTAGCCGAAACTGGAGTGCTGCTTTGATTTCAGTCTGAGGCTGGCCAGGCTGGAGTTACAAGTGTCCCTGTACACGCTGTAGGGCGAGCCCGGCGGCCCATAGGGACAAGCGGGAGAGGACATGGCCGAGTTGAGCGAGGAGCCGCTGATGTTGTTGATGTTGTTGAGGCCGGAGTTGGCCATTCCCGGCACGGCCGAGTGGCCCATCCCGGAGGGCATGTTCATGGAGGAGATGCTGCTGGGAGCCGAGAACATGGACTGCGAGGAGAGGGGGCTCATGGAGTTGAAAAAGGTGAAGCTCTTGGTGGAGAGCGGCGCCGGGGTGAGGCTTTTGGTGGCCCAGTTGTTGTAGGGGTACCCGGCGTACATGTCGTCGTAGGGCTGCATCAGCCCGCTGAACTGCGGCACGTAGCCGTTCTTGCACAGGTCCATCTGCTGGTTCCGCTCCCGCTTTCTCCACTTGGCTCGGCGGTTCTTGAACCACACCTGAGGGAGGGACAGGCCACGGTCAGAGCTGCCCCGCCGCGCACGATGCGCTCCCGGCCGCGCAGAGGCGCGCAAGTAGCGCGCAGCCGCTCCCGGCCACCCCTCATTGCCCAGACGTCCCCACCCTCCCCACGCTCTCCATCGCTCCCAGTCCCACCGTTCCCAGTCCCATCTCTCCCTGCCCCTCTGTTCCCTGTCCGCGCATCTCCGCGCGCAGGCGATATTCAGCGGCATCTGCGAGCGGGGCTGCGCGCAGCCGTCCGTCCTCGGGTGTCCGCATCCCCCTCCGCCCCTCTCCCTTCGCCATGGGGAGAAGGCACGGCCCGCTCTGATTAGGGCCGGCTCGCCCCGGCTCCGCCGTGTTTCCGAATGCTAATGCTGTGTAATAAAAGTCCCCTGTTACAGATCATAAAAAAGGGGATTGGATTAGTATGTTTAGGTTTAAAAAAAAAAAAAAAATCAGTCCCTGCATGGCCCTTGGATGGATGCAGCCTCTGCCTTTATATCTAATGAGAATTTACAGCCCTGACTGGGAAACAGAGGAGCAGGGGCCGCTCCTGGTGTTTGATGCAAAAACCCGATCCAGGCTCTCTCTCCTATTTTCTTTTCTTTCCTTTTTTTTTCTTTTTCTTTTAGGAAAGGCTTTGAGCCCCCCGCGATGGGAGCCATGAGCCGGGCCGGGATTGGGGCAGCGCGGGTTCCGAATTCTCTCCCCAAGTTAAACCCGGCAGCACCGCGCTCGGTTCTCAGCTTCCTCCGCCTCCCCCTCCTTACTGCGCGCGGCCCCGCGGAGGCTGCGCCCCTCGGAGCGCCCCGGCCCTCCCCTCCCCGCGCAGCGATGGCGCAACGTTCTTTCACAGACGTTCATGGGGATGGAAGGAAAAAAAAAAAAGACACCAACAAACTACGAGGGAAGAAGGGATGGCGGAGCCAATTTAAAAAATAACAAGAATAAAAAGACTCCCGTATTAAATAAGAAGAGGAAACGAAAGCCAACGTTTTCAAAACCTGTAATATACTCCTCGGAAGGTGCTTCCAGACAGGAATTTCCTGAAAATGAGGGTAATAGTTTTAATTATGGCTCCTAGACATTTTAAAGGAAGGCCCTCACAGCAAATTAAGGTTAGATTTGCAATCTGCAATCTCAGAACATCAAACCAAAACATCTCCGCACAGAGGGAGAACGAAATGATGTTAATGGCCACTCGTATATTAGTTTTATTTGCTTCCTGAAATATTCCAGCAATATTAATGCCGTTCAGTCTCCTCTCGGGCTTTGTTTTGTTTTGTTTTGAGCGCAATTAGTGCAATGCTTTCGGATGAGAGCGTGTTTACTCTCGGAAGATTTTAGACGGAATTTTTGCTGTCCGACTGGATCACTCGGAGTTTAATTACCAGAAAGGGCTCCGCGGGGCTGAGGGGTGACTCTCGATACCCCCCCCCCCCCCTTTTTTTTTTCTCCCGAATTTCTGCTCCGGCCCCGGCCTGGTGAGCACTCAGAGGGGCCGAAACCACGCAGGGAAAAATCTCGGGAGGAAACGGCGAGCGGAGATGGGAAAAACTGCTGCGGATCGATACGGCCCGAGCCGCTCCGCGTTGGCTGTTCATCGCAGCGCTATCTCGCAAGTAAATCTCTCTAAATAACAGCCGAGGCTATATATATATATATTCCCGGATGGCATCGGCTCGGAGCCGTAGAAAGACCCAGCGCCTCCGCCTTACGGGAACGTGTCGTGCTATTGACTTTGGAGGGCGGTCTCCCCCCAACCCCCCGTCCTTCACTTTGCCGGCAGCCCCGCAAACAGCGGAGCCACGTCCGGCGCTGCCCCTGCGGGGGATGCGCGGCCGCTCCGCACCGCTCCGCGCGGATCCCGGGGGCTGAGCCGCGATCCTGAGGAGCCGCCGAGCGGTGGTTTATTTGGGGGGGGGGTCCTCATTATTGCCGGGATTATGGGGATAACCGGAACATTGCAAAGGACTCGAGGGTTTGAGCCAAGCCGAAGAGTCTCACCCCACAAAACGGCTGCATCCCATCCCGATCCCACCGTCCCATTTATGAGGCCCGGCACAGCCCTAATTCGCCTCCGCAGCCAGGAGCCGAATGTCTCCTCTTCAACCTCACCACCCATCTGAGCAACCAAAACCAATCCCACAGCGGCCCCGCTCCCAAAAGGGGCCGTTTCCCTCAGCTCCCCCCGGCCCAGCAGAGGCCCGCAGCGCCCATCTTACCCGGACGCGGGGTTCGGTGAGGTTCGTCCACACGGCGATCTCCTCCCGCATGCTCATATCGGGGTAGCGGTTCCGCTGGAAAGTGGCCTCCAGCTCCTGCAGCTGTTGGCTGGTGAAGTGGGTCCGCTGCCTCCGCTGCTTCTTCTTCTTCGCCGGGTCGTCGGCGGCCCCGTCCTCGTTTTTCTGCTCTCCGCTTCTCTCTTTTTCTACGATGGGATGTTTGGGTTTGGGTATATACATATATATATCGGTTGTGGGTTTTTTTCTCACACATTTTTTTTTCCTTTTCTTTTGTTTGTTTGTTTGTTTCATACTCAAAAACACGCACACAAAGGCAGCCCCCCCCACCCCCCTCCCACCCCCGCTCCTGCCCGCCCCATTACAGCCGTGCTTGGGGTACCCATAGGGACCGACACCGCAGCACCGAGCACAGCCCGGCCCGGCCCGGGGAGATCGCGGGACCCGCATGGCTCGGATTGAAGGGCGAAAGGGATCGAGAGGAGCGGATTACAACAGCGGCATAGCCCTCATTGCGGCCCACGACAACTTTTTTTACTCCTTTAAACCCTAAGGCGCGATCTTTGCTCCGTTTTCTTTGTTGTGTTCGGCCGCGACAGGAAACTTTGGAAGGGCAGGGGTGTAAAACCCGCAGCAATTAATTGCAAAAGTCGCCCTCTCTCTTTACTCCCCCACTTTTTTTGTTGTTGTTTTCTTTCTCTCTTTTTTTCCCCCTTTTCCCTCTTTCGATGCTTTTAGGACCTGACTGTTTATTTTAACCCCGGGTCGAGCAAAAAAAAAAAAGAAAAGAAAAAAAAAAAAAAAAAAAAAAAAAAAGAGTTTCGAAAAAAGCACAAACAACAACGACAACAAAAATCTCAGTCGCGTTTTTGGCGATCGGGATTTGCACGCTATAGAAGCAGGAGTGCGGGAATCCTTCCCGGCCCCTCGGCTGCGGGGGACAGAACCTTTCGGAACGCCTCTCCTCGCTTCTCTCCGAGCTCCGTGTCGGAACGGCACTGCGAGGGCCAAAAGCAGAGCGATGTGGGCCAGGGGACGGAGGGTGGAGGGGAGCCGGGGCTCCGCGCAGTGCCGCTGCGGGACGCGAGCACTTCAGCCCCGAGGGAAACTCCGCGGGCGCGCAGCCCGTCCGCCTCCCCCCGGGCCGAGCTGTGCGCCTTTCCCGCAGGCTCAGGCGGCGGTGCGGGGGCATTTCTGCAGCTCTGTGACGTTAAACAGAACCGTGGGCTGCGTGCGGCTGATGGGCTGGGGGGAAGGGGGTCGGGGGAGCTCGGCCTGGAGAAGTCACCCTTCTCTCTGGAAGCCCTCCGGAATAAAAAGGAGGGACAGAGAGCTTCAACGTAGACCCCAACGCGGTGAAAAGGCCGATAGCAGCTCGGATGGCCTCTCCCGGAGTTAAGTGGTTTGCAGAGCAAACAAGGCCTGCAGCAGCCCCAGAGCTGCCCCGGTCGCTGGACCACCGAGCAAACAGAAAGCAAAGCCCCCCCATGAGCTGCGACCGCGGCCCCGCGTTCAGCCCCGCCGTGATTTCAGCTGAAACCCGGCCTTCAGTTCGGGCCTCGGTGTCATTTCAAAACAGAGAGAGCATTCGGTTCAATTGGAATTTGTGCCTTATTATTATTATGCTTTTTTTTTTCTTTCCCTCATTAAAAATAAATAAATAACAATAATAAAGGAAGAAAGAGAACGTGAAAGGTATTTCGTAGCTCCTCGGAGATTTAAAAAAAAAAAAAAAAAAGCAGCAGGTCTTCAGCCCTGCCCCGCACCGAGGGGTCACATAGAGGGGTACGGTAAAATGGAGCAAATCTCCCTCCCTAATCTCCAATAATCCCCTCTAATCTCGGAGTCCCTTCCAGACGCCGGTCCCTCACAGTTTGCTGAGCGGAGCTCGGCGCTGCGTATCGCCGTGTGCCGCCCGGCCCTGCCTCGTGCTGCAGCGGCGGGACCTGCTAACACCGACACGAGCAGCAACATCTATTTAAAAAGTAATGTGAAGTGAAATGAGAGAGAAAGTCCTCCCGAGAAAAGCAGAACGGCCATCGGGCTCCTTTCTGCAGCTTTTGTTTTCCTCTCCCAGCTTCCCTCGTCACCCTGGAAATGTTGCTACTTCAATTAAATGCAAACTGGGAAACCACAGCTTTCCCTGCAGCCCTCGCACATGAAGGTCAGGGCGCGGAGAGCCTCTGCAAATCGCGCAGCCCCTGCTCAAAGTCCTCCGTGGCCGCGCATGTCCCCTCCGCGCTGCCCCACGCTCCCTCCGTTCTGCGGGGAATTTTTTATTTTCCATATTTTTTCTTTCTCCCTCCCCCCTTCCTCAGACAGAAAAAAACTTTTTCCATGTCCGAACCGCCCGAGCTGCAAAATAAACCCGGGCAGAACTGACATGATTTCAGAAATATCTGGCAATACCGCGCTCCAGGAAGAGCGCCGTTCACTTCGGTGTGATTAATTGATCGCTGTTTAAATAACTAAGAGCTAAGAGAAAGAAAGAGAGAAAGAGAAAGAGAAAGAGAAAGAGAGAGAGAGAGAGAGAGAGAGAGAGAGAGAGAGAGAGAAAGAAAGAAAGGAAGAAAGGAAGAAAGGAAGAAAGGAAGAAAGGAAGAAAGGAAGAAAGAAAGAAAGAAAGAAAGAAAGAGAAGAAAGAGAAGAAAGAAAGAGAAAAAAAAAAAAATTTGGGGAAGGAGAAAGAAAAATAATCACGAAAGAAGCTCTAGGATGGGGCTCGGAGGCCGCGAGTGTCCTCTTCGCGGGTGACAGCCGCTCTGTGCCGGTCCCTCTCGCCCCTTCTCGGGGTTCTGAGGGGATGGGGACATCGGGGACAGCGGGGACAGCCGCCCCCCGGCCCACATCGCCGCTCGCTGCTGCGCGGAACCGCCGAGCGCCCCGCGGAGGGAAAACGCGGAGGGGAAGGGGGAGGCGCGGGGGGAGCGGGCAGGGGCCGCGGGGGGGTTACCTGGCACCTCCGTGTCGGAGGATTCACTGGCCGAGTTCTCGATCGGGTCTCTGGGCTCCGAGGATCTTTGCAAATGGAAGCTGGAAGCCATGTCATGGGAGGGTTGGGGTCTCAAGCTCTCGGGCAGTCTCTCCAAATTCATTCCACCTTTAAAGGAATCCATGGCGGGGGCGCCGGGCTGCCTGGGGGAGTTTGCAGGTGTTTATTCCACACAGAAAGGAACAAGGAGCTTTTTTTTTTTTGCTTTTTTTTTTTTTCCCCCCTCCCTCCTTTTTTCTCTCTCTCTCGTTTTTTGTTTTTGTTTTTTTTTTTTTTTCTTTAAGGGGAAAAAAAAAACCACGACAAAACACAACAGCAACAACAAAAAAAAAAACAAAAAACAAAAGCAAATCCACTTATTACTAACAGTATTATTTTAAGGGTGTCGGAAGAAGAGATCTGGGCAGAGCCTGGAAGCCGCCGGGCTCTGCGCGGGGAGAGGCACGGCAGTCCGGCCGCATAGGCAGGAAAGTGGTAAAGATCCCTTATAGAGAAACGCGAGTTGCGAGTTGGACAGTTTAAAGCTAAAGAGATTAAAGTGACCTGCCCTAGAACAAATGCCTGTAGTTAAACGGGGCTCCTCCCCCTGAAGGTTAAAACCTCCCCGTCTCGCTCATGCATCACTCCCATCTAGCGCTCGCCCAGCCCGGCCGCGCGGGCGGACCTGCCTGCGCGCTCCCCGCCGAAGTTGCGCGCTTCTTGCGCGGCCGCCCCGCACCCCTTTCCCCCCTCCTGACTTCTTCGTGCGAGAAATGCAGCTCTTGAAGGTGCTCCCCCAGCCTTCCCCCGCCGCTTCCCCCCGACGCCTCCCCCAAATACCTCGCCGAGGTATTAAAAATATTTCATAACGAATGGAAAGGTGGAAAATCATTCCCAGCCGTGCGGAGGGCGGTTCGTCCCCCCTCCCCCTCTGCCTGCCCTCAACCTCTGGGTGGGGGTGGGGGGGTGGCAGCACCCCTTGGCCTCCTTTCATCCCTCGCAGGTTGTTCCCGCGCGCATCTCCGCGCACATCCCCCCCCCCCCCCCCCCCCCCCCCCCCCCCCCCCGGGCCTCCTGTCCGCGCAAGCTGCGCACCCCGCGCAGCGACCCCACGGCGAGTTCGAGTCCCGCGGGGAACGGATCCCTCCGAGCTGAGGGGGTTGCCCTGGGAACGGCCCCCAGGGATTTGTGCCTGATTCGGTTTTATCCCTTTCTAACACTTCTTTTTTTTCACTCGCTGAAGGGCAGCAGCGGTGATCTGGGGGACAGGGCGAGGGGATGCGAGGGGATCTCGGCTGCGCTCTGCCCGTGGAAGGGACGTTCTCTCCTCTTTATTTTCTCGGCCCCCTTTAACTGATCCATCCTGACACTCTATTTTGCTTTCAAATCAAGTAAAGATGTGGGAGAGAACTTTTGAACTGTTTTATGGAAAGTGGAGTGGAGCAGTGCTGCAGTGCGGGCTTTTTTCCTCCCTCACCGGGCTGTTGCGTCCGGCTCTGAACCTCTGATCTCCAAAGCCTTTTGCAGCTCAGGGTGTGGACAGGTAGGTGCTGTCACGCTCAGGTCTCTATCCATTTTCTTTCTTTTCCTTTCCAGCTCCGCAGCCGATACATTTCACAGTCCCCTCCTTTCTTTTTCTTTCTTTTTTATTTATTTTCAAATTATTATTATTATTTGAATTTCTGCGGGGCCGGAAGAGGGGCAGCCCCGGGCAGCTCTCCGGGAGCTCTCGGCTGGAGCCAGGATTGCTGCGCTGGGGGGCGGCTGCCAACAGCCCGGCTGCTCTGCTCCGGCTATTTTAAACCCACTGCTCACAGCAGCTTGAAAACCGGAGGCGGGATTTTTCCTTCTTTTTCTTTTCTTTTCTTTTCTTTTCTTTTTTTTTTTTTTTCCTTCTTCCTTTTTTCTTCATTTTTTATTTCTTTTTTTCTTTTTTCTTTTCTTTTCTTTTTTTTTTTTTTACCCTCAGCCCAATTTTCACTTTTTGTTCTGCTCCATAAAACACATTTTCAAAATTCGTTCTAGGATCAAATCCCTCTGCTGGGCTCAGGGAAAGGCTCAGCCAGGACTCAGAGGCTTTTCCTGGGATAGCGTTCTTCCTCTGAGGGCGTCCCTGGGGCATGGGCCCGGCGGGGGGGTGGGGGGGTGGAGAAGGGCTCCGTGCCCTGCCCGGCATCCTGCCCTTCTCTCCATGCGTGTCCATGCCCGGGCCATGATCAGGCATTCCACTGCCCACCTGTACACGGATCCAGAGTATCACACATGGAGATACGTGTTTGTTTTATGCCTTGTATGTGCCTTCTGTATGTCTTATATACGCCTTACGCATGTCTTACAAACACCTTATGTATGTCGTATGTGGGACTCAGGGCGCTTTCTTGCTCTGCTCTTTAGGAGCTGGGAGGGTTCCTGTCACACAGAGCCGTCTCCTCCCGTTCTATCAGGACGACACATTGTCGGGACAAACCGGTCCTCCCCACATTTGCATTTTTTCCTTTTTCCCCACCCAGGCCCACTCCGTTTCGGGTGCCGGGAACATCCCTTCTCTGCATCCCTCTCCTTTAGGCGTTACGTCACGGTCACCCCCGCGTGACGTCACGCCCCGTTTCCCTGACGTCACGCCTTGCATCTTTTGATGCTGGAAGAAGGGAAGCGAGGCCGCAGCCACGGGGCAGCCTCCCACCCGTCCCTGTGGGGACACCCCCTGAGGGATCCGTGACCCTCGTGGGTGTGGGAAGGGCCGTGGAGGACTGGGGCCGGGGGCCGTGGTGATTTTGCTTGGGAAAATTCCTCGCAGTGCCCGCCCGAGCCGGACCCGGGGCCCACGCAGCCGGGACTCCCCCGGCCCAGGGCTGCAGGGTCGCAAATACACAGCTCCTTTCCTCCTGCCATAAATAATGCAAGAACGAGCCGCTGCTCTTATGAATAAACTGGAGTTGGCCACGCCAGTTGTAACTCAGTTGAGAAGAGGACGAGAGAAGACCGAACTGGAGAATCACCCAGTGGTCTCGAAGGGGCCCGCAGTCCCTCCCCATCATCCCGGAACGAGTCTTGTGCCAGAGACCCTGCAGGAGCTTTCCTACTTTTGGAAAGGAGCTCCCGTCCCCGGCTGGCGGCCGCTTTTGTAGCCAACACAAAACCACCTGGGCCGTATATCAGGCAGCGAAGTTAAGAAGTCTCCGCCAGCTTTTCCTCTTCAGATTTATTAGCATTGTATGGACTCAGATTCAGTCTATAAATTATTGGGAATCGTTACGAAAATGAAAGCGTCTCCTCCCAAGTGCACCTCTGTCCGAGAGGAGAGGGAAACCCTCCCAAAATAAACAAACAAACAAACAAACAAATGCAAAACAATAAAAATAGCAGTAGTGAGGCAAGGGATAAGGGAGACATTCCTCAACCAAGTCCAACTCAACCCAATCCAACCCAAGCCCAGCCGACCCAAACCAACTCAGTTGAATGCAACCAAACCAAACCAAACCAAACCAAACCAAACCAAACCAAACCAAACCAA